AAATACTTAAAACACTTTCGTTCTAAGCATCCAGTCGTGACTTACATTTATAATTGTGAATTTATAGGTCTGTGGGTTATTCTATTTTTATATAACACTGTTATCGCAGTATTTTTCAAGTCTTGTCTCTTAAATAAAAACACAATTTTTAAAAACTAATTTTATTTAGCATCGCTTTTAATTCAGGCAATACCACCACTCGGGCATATTCTCGGGCACCTACAGGTCTGTCTTCCTTTTCCTCGTCCCTGAGCGAGCCGACGCCAAGATGGTGAGTCGATTGTGGACAAATGATTATGAAAATCTAATTAAATCTTCTCCATCCGCTGGTTTCATATTGACACTTTTGCCGTAAAGCACACTACATATTTATAATAACCAATGTATGTCTTCATTTAGAGGATATAATGTGTACGAACTTTTCGGTAGACTAATGGTGCGTCGTTTCATATCATCGTGCTACTCTTAACAGTGACTAGGAGGGGTAAAATATTACATTACAGGCATATATGTATCCATAGACCTGAAATGGGAAATGTATAAAGTGGAAAACTTATATGGACCCCTGTATTTCTTATCGAGCCCATGAAGCTAATGTAGCTAAAGAGCTAACCATATAAAGAGCAAGTGTCTTATACTTCACAGCTTTTGCTCTGCATCTATACAACATGCTCACGGTTTTTTCTGAATATCGCGATGAATAAAATTAATACATTCTGTTGGTAGGTTTTACAGTACATGGCTGTCAAGTAACTGTTTAGGGTAAGAAATGTGACTGTCATGATTTGAGAAATGGTTTCATCCAAGTTTAACATCAGCCCAGCTCATAGTTTTCAGTTGAACCTCAATATTTCAACTGTTTCAAACAAATGTGTCTTATTTGCAGAACGAGACCGTCACAGTAAGGACCAGAAAGTTCATGACAAACCGGCTGCTTCAAAGGAAGCAAATGGTAAGCGTGTGGCAGATTTTGTATGCTGGCTTAATGTAATTTAATTTGCACTTTTGGCATTTGCTCATTCATGCTTTTATTGTTTCAGGTTGTGGATGTCCTGCATCCAGGCAAAGCAACAGTCCCCAAGACAGAGATCAGGG